GCAGGGAGCCCAATGTGGGACTCGATCCCAGGACCCTGGGATCATGACCTGAGCCGAAGGCAGACGCTTAACCATCTGAGCCACCCAGGTGCCCCTCCAATGGCATTTTTAACAGAAATAGAAAAACAAATCCTAAAATTGGTATGGAACCACAAAAGACCCCAAATAGCCAAATTAATCTTGCAGAAGAGGAATGAAGCTGGAGGCATCACACTTCCTAATTCAAACTACATTATGAAGCCATCATAATTAGGAGTTCAAGGTGGTGGGATAGGAAGATTCTGAACTCACCTCCTCCACAGACACGACAAATCTACAAAGACCTAAAAACTATCTGAACAAGTGCCTCCATAACAAAGAATAAAAGGGCCACATGAAAATGTGTGGAAGAAACAGAGACACGGTCTCACCGAAAACCCCATCCCAGTGCTGCAACCCACAGTTAGGAGGGATCTCATAAATATAGGACTTCTTCCTGAGGAGCAAGGGGTTTATGCCCCCACGTAAGGCACCCCAACCTTTGGGTCCTGCACCAGAGAGATGATCCCCCACCAAATGTCTGGTTTTGAAAGCCAATAGGTCAAATGTTCAGGAAAATTATAGGGCTGTCGGGGACAGAGACTCTGCTCTTAAGGACTTACAGACAGACTCGCTTGCCCCAGAACCTGGTACAGAAGCAGCAGTCTGGAAAGTGCTAGACCATAAGTGAAGAAGATTCATTTGCTAATCTTAAAATGTCTGCTGTATGGGCAGAAGCCTGGTAGAACTCTCCCTGGGGACAGAGATGCTGGAGGGGGCCATTTCTGGCGTTCTTCCTCTATCTTGCTAGTGCCAGCGAGTGTGCCCACTCCTGTGTCCCACTCCATCGCAGCTCTGTCAAAGCCAGCCAGGCAAATGGCCAACCTCACATAACACTCCACCACAGCTCCACCAGAGTCAGCCAGGGTGCACAGCCCATACAGGGGATGCCCCGTAAGTGCCTGGATCTGGTAGTCAAGGGGAATTGCATTTTTGGGTCCTATGGGTCTAAAACAACTGGAAAGACAGTTCTTGGCAGGTTACCATGCCCAAGGGACTGCACTGACAATAGACTGAAACAACAACCCATGGTCTTCCCATGAAAAAACTTCAGCTTGAACGGTAGGTTTCAGGTTTACCACACATCTAAAGGATAGAGAAGTGCTCTCAGGGAACACAGGCTGAAGGATACCATCTTTGAGCTCTCATCTGGCCTCACCACAGCTTGCTGGCACCTCCCAGAAAGAAACTTGTACACTCATCTGGAACCCTGAATTTGCAACAGTCCCTAAGAGATCCCCCCGCCCCAGATCACTTGGTCTGGAGGCTAGTATGGTCTATGATTGCAGTCTCCCAGGACTGTATCTATTTGCATACCTTAAAGATGCTGACTGAGGGGCTAGTTTCCAATCAGTCTAAAACTAGGTGCTGATGAGATCCCTTCCTCTGGGACACTCACAAGTCTTGACACAATAACTAGAACCTACCAAGAGAAACTCAGGCTGCTTAGACAATCATAAAGGTTTGAGACAGCCAAGAGCTACAGCAAAGTAGCTGTAGCTACTTTGATGTGAGGTTCATCTCCTACACAGGGCCACTCCTGCAAGACTGGGAGAGACAGCTATTTTGCCTAATACACAGAAACCACCACAGAGAGTCAAGCAAAATGAGGAGACAGAGGAGTATATTTCAAATGAAAGAACAAGATAAAACCCTGGAAAAAAATCTTAATGAAACAGAGATAAGTAATTTGCCTGACAAAGAGTTAAAAGTAATGGTCATAAAGATGCTGACTACACTTGGGAGAAGAATAGATGAACACAGTGAGAAGTTCAACGAAGACACAGAAAATGAAAGACAGTACCAAACAGAAGACACAGAACTGAAGAATACAATAACTGAACTGAAAAATACACTACAGGAGTTCAACAGCAGACTAGATGAAGCGGATAGAATCAATGAGCTAAATAAAACACAGGGCAATGGCACTCACCCAAACCAAGCAGCAAAAAGAAAAAAATTTAAAAACTGAAGATAGCTTAAGCTATTTATGGGACAATATCAAGCAGAATAACATGTATATTATAGGAGTCCCAGAAAGGGAAGAGAGGATGGGGCAGAACGCTTATTTCAAGAAATAATTGCCAAAAGCTTCCCTTACCTGGGAAAAGAAACAGACAACCAGATCCAAGAAGCCCAGAATTCCAAAGAAGATGAGCCCAAAGAGACCCACACCAAAACACATAATTAAAATGTCAAAAGTTAAGGATAAAGAGAGAAATTAAAAGCAAGAGAAAAAACAACTTGCTACACACAAGGAAATCCCCATAAGGCTATCAGCAGATTTCTCAGCAGAAACTTTGCAGGTCAGAAGAGAATGGCATGATATATTCAAAGTGCTGAAAGGAAAAACTCCCAAACAAGAATACTACCTGGCAAAGTTATCACTCAGAGAGGTAAGAGCTTTCCAGATAAACAAAAGTTAAAGGAATTCACGGACACTAAACTAGCCTTATAAGAAATGTTAAAAGAATTTCTTTAAGCTAAAAGGAAAGGGCATTAATTAGTAATAAGAAAACAATATTTTAAAAATATCACTGGTAAAGGTAAATATGTAGTAGTGGTTTAATCACTTATAAAGCTAGTATGAAGGTTAAAAGATAAAAGTAGTAAAAGTAATTACAAATACAGTAATTAGTTAAGGGATACACAAAATAAAAAGATGTAAATATGACATCAATAAACCACAGGGCAAGAGGAATAAAAATACAGTTTTAGAATGCATTCAAACATAACTTGTTACCAACTTAAAACAGCTTGTTATATATATACAGGCTGTTATATACGAGCCTCATGGTAACCATAAAGCAAAACCCATAGTAGAGGGACGCCTGGGTGGCTCAGTCGGTTAAGCGTCTGCCTTCGGCTCAGGTCATGATCCCGGGGTCCTGGGATCGAGTCCCGCATGGGGCTCCCTGCTCCGCGGGGAGCCTGCTTCTCCCTCTGCCTCTGTCTCTCTCTCTGTCTCTCATGAATAAATAAATAAAATCTTTAAAAAAAAAAAAAAACCCATAGTAGATAGACAAAGGATAATGAGAAAGGAATCTAAGTGTAACACCACAGAGTCATCAAACCACAAGGTAAGAAACCAAGAGAAGAAAGGAACAGAGAGGAATTACAAAACAAATGAAAAACAATTAATAAAATGGTAATAAGTACATACCCATCAATTTCTTTAAATGTAAATGGGTCAAATTCTCCAATCAAAAGGCAGAAAGTGGCTGAATGGATAAAGAAACAAGACCCATCTATCTGCTGCCTGTAAGAGACTCACTTCAGATATAAGTACACACATGGACTGAAAATGAAGGATGGAAAAAGATGTTTCAAGCAAATGGAAACCAAAAGAAAGCAGGGGTAACTATACTGACATCAGACAAAACAGATTCAAAGCAAAGACTATAGTAACAGACAAAGAGGGGCATTAAATAATGATAAAGAGGTAAATCCAGCAGAAGATATAACATTTGTCAGTATTTATGTACCCAATGGAGAAACACCTAAATACATAAAGCTAACACCAACAGACCTAAAGGGAGATAATGACAGGAATAAAATAATACTAGAGGACTTTAATACCTCACTTATATCAATGGATAGATCAGCCAGACAGGAAATAATAAGGAAACATCAAACTTAAACAACATATTAGATGGAATAATGGATATATATAGAACATTCCATCCAAAAACAGCAGAATACACTTTCTTCTCAAGTACACATGGAACATTTTCCAGGATAGATCATATGTTAGGCCACAAAACATGTCTCAGTAAATTAAAGACTGAAATCATATCAAGCATCTTTTCTGAACACAATATGAAACTAGGAATCAATTACAAGAGGAAAACTGCAAGAATCACAAATATGTGAAGATGAAACAACATACTACTGAACAACCAATGGGTCAATGAAGACATCAAAAAAGAAATTAAAAAATACCTTGAGACAAATGAAAATGGAAATACAACACACCAAAAAAAAAGAAAATACAACACACCAAAATCTATTGGATGCAGCAAAAGCAGTTCTAAGAGAAAAGTTCATAGAGATAGTTAAGAAGAAAAATCTCAGATTAACAATCTAACGTTACACCTAAAGGAACTAGGAAAATATGAACAGATGAAGCCCCAAATTAGTAGAAAAAAGGAAATAATAAAGATCAGAGTGAAAAGAAATGAAGTTGAGACTGAAAAGAAATAGAAAAGACCAATGAAACTATGAGCTGATTCTTTGAAAAGATTAACAAAATTAACAAACCTTTAGCTAAACTAAGAAAAAGAGAGGGCTCAAATAAATAAAATCAGAAATTAAAGAGAAGTTACAATTGATACCAAAGAAATCCAAAGGATCATAACAGACTACTATAAACAATTATACACCAAAAGATTGAACAATTTAGAAGAAATGGATAAATTCCTAAAAACATACAATCTTCCAAGAGTGAATCATGAAGAAATAGAAAATCTGAATAGATTGATTACTAGTAAGGAGATGGAATCAATAACTTAAAAACTCCCAACAAAAGTCCTAGACCAGACAGCTTCACTGGTGAATCCTACCAAACATTTAAAGATTTAATATCCATCCTCCTTATACTCTTCCAAAAAACTGAAGAATAGGGAATGCTTCCAGACATGTTTTATGAAGCCAACATTACCCTGATATCAAAACCAGAGAAAAAATTAATTAATTTTAAAAATTATAGGCCATATCAGATATCCCTGATGAACATACATGCAAAAATCCTCAAAAAATATTAATAAACTGAATTTGACAATACATTATAAGGATTATACACCATGATCAAGTGGTGTTTATTCCAGGGATGCAAGGACGGTTCAACATCTGCAAATCAATCAACATGATATACCACATTAACATAATGAAAGATAAAAATCATATGATCATCTCAATAGATACAGAAAAAGCATTTACAAAATTCTTTTATGATAAAAACTCTCAACAAAGCAGGTATATGGCCACTGAAAGGACATATATGACAAGCCCACAGCTAACATCATACTCGACAGCGAGAAGCTAAAAGCTTTCCCTCTCAGTAATATGACCAGGATGCCCACTCTCACCGCTCTTAGCCAGAGCAATCAGGCAGGAAAAAATATAAAAAGCATACAATTGGAAAGGAAGAAGTGAAACTGTCACTATTTGTAAGTGACATGATTTTATATAATGAAAACCCTAAAGACTCCACCAAAAAACTGTTGGAACTATTAACTGAAACCAGTAAAGTTGCAGGGTACACAATCAATATAAAAAAATCCGCTGCCTTTTTTATACACTAACAATGAACTATCAGAGAGAAATTAAACCAATTCTGTTGACAAGTCCATCAAAAAGAATAAAATACCTACAAATAAATTTAGCCAAGGAGGTGAAAGACTTATACACTGAAAACTCTAAGACGCTTATTAAAGAAATTGAAGATGTAAATAAATGGAAAGATACTCCATGTTCATGGATTGAAGAATTAATATTGTTAAAACAGCCAAAGCAATCTATAGATCCAATGCAATCTCTAACAAAGTTCCACTGTCATTTTAGAGATAGAACAAACAATCCATTTGAATGAAACCACAAAAGATCCCAAATAGCCCAAGCCATTTTGAAAAAGAACAACAAAGCTGCAGGCATCATGCTCCCTGATTTCAAACTATCCTACAAAGCTATAGTATTCAAAACATTGGCATAAAAACAGATATATAAATCAATGGAACAAAGTAGAGAGCCCAGGAATAAACCCATGCATATACGGTTAATTAATTTATGGCAAAGAGGCAAAACTATTCAAGGGGAAAAGGCCAATAAATGGTGTTAGGAAAACTGGACAGTCACATGCAAAAGAATGAAAATGGACCACTACCTTACACCACATATAAAAATTAACTCAAAATGGATTAAAGACCTGATTGTAAGACCTGAAACCATAAAACTCCTAAGAGATAACATAGAAAACAGATAGACATACATACATACTATGGAGTATTATTCGGCCACAAAAAGAAGAAGATCCTGCCATTTGCAACAACATGGATAAAACTTGAGGGTATTATGCTAAATGAAATGAGTCAGATAAAGACATATACTGTATGACCTTACCTATAGTGGGATCTAAAAAAAACTGAACTCACAGAAACAGAGAGTTGACTGGTGATCACTAGAGACAGGGAAAGGCAGCACTAGAGGGAAATGGGTGATGGTGGTCTAAGTGTGCAAACTTCCAGTTATAATATGAATAAGTTCTGGGGAATGTAATGTACAGTATGGGGACTATGTACTGTAGCTTATATTTGAAAGATGCTAAGAAAGTAGATCTTAAAAGTTTTCAAGACACAGAACTGTAACTGTGTGAGGTGATAGATATGTTAACTAACCTCATTGTGGCAATCATTTTACAATATATCCATATATCAAATCATCATGTTGTACACCTTAAACTTACACAATGTTATATGTCAACTGTATCTCAATAAGCTGGAAAAAAAAAGAGAAAGAAATGAAGACTGGTTAAAAAAAAAAAAAAAAAAGCCTGGCCAAGGTAACCGACAGCTGGATGTTAATGCATCCCCATCTATGCATCCATCAATTCACAAGAAAAATATCTGGGCCTCTTCAGGTTTGTAATCTATAGAAAAGTCTTCACTGAATTTATGTTTTTTATGTTCTATCTCCTTTATTTAAAATCAAAAATAAAATATTTTATTATTTTATATAATAAAAGACCAGATAAAGAACCTTCTGTATATTCTATAAAACCACTGTTAGACACGACCTGTTACACTGTTTAATATTCCTCATATAAGGGTGGACATGACTGACTTAACAGAATTCAGTTCCAAGAAGAAGTTGATCTTCCCTTTGATTGTTATTTCCCTTTAACACATAATAAGAATTTTATAACCTCCATGTTATACTTTTCCTTTGTTGCCAGAAGCTAAAAACAAAAAATATATTCAAGTACAGTAAATACAATAGTTACCTAAAGTTTTGTTATAATTTCCCTATTTCTGTATAATAATTTTACTGAACATGTGTTTTCTAATATAATCCTGACTAGAGCAACAAATAATGAAATGATAAATAAATAAATGTAGCTGAGGTATGATTAACAAACAATAAATTCAGCAAAATGACTCTAGTACTGGCTTTGTGTTTACATTGTTTCAACCTCTAGGAGGAGGACTGACAGCATAAAGGGCTTCCATCTTTCCAAAACCTCATGTCTAACTCAGCTCCCTGCCTTCTTCAGTCCATCTCACAATGCCTTACACAGCATAGTAATTTTCTTACATTGACCGCCATTTAAATCAATAATCATTTTTCCTTTGAGGGAAAGGGAAAACTAAAATAAATCATTTTTAATTCTAGAGACATCTGTTCTGAGAAAACAGGTTGTTATTTTCCAGAGATGTGGTTCCTCGGCTCACGGTGATGCTGTCTGTTCTGTCGGGAGAGCTGAACCTCTAGCACCTAGAGCGGCATCTGCGCAGTGCAGGCCCTCAACAAACAGCTGGATGAATGAATAAACTATTATTAATACACTACCCTTTGTTTTAGGACATATAATAAAACAATCAAGGAAATCTGTGATTTCATTTTAACTCCTTTTTAGCCTATTATTATCAAGGTGCTGCTCAGAATCAGTAAGGAAATTATGAATCAGACCAGATGCCACTGCAATCAATACTGTATAATTTTCGGGGCGCCTGGGTGGCTCAGTAGTTAAGCATCTGCCTTCGGCTCAGGTCATGATCCCAGGGTCCTGGGATCGAGCCCCCCCATCGAGCTCCCTGCTCGGCGGGAAGCCTGCTTCTCCCTCTCCCACTCCCCCTGCTTGTGTTCCCTCTCTCGCTGTCTCTCTCTCTGTCAAATAAATAAATAAAACCTTAAAAAAAAAATACTGTATAATTTTTGTAAATCCTATTTTTTTTCAATGTTGTTAGAGCCTCGGGTCATTTATACTTTATATAAAACTAAAAAAAAAAATGAAAGCCCCATGTTTTATGCCATAAATGTTATATCGGGCCTTACTAAAACATTATGAATTTTCATTAAAAACACCCAAAAACCTACCTTCTCTTTTAGAAGTCGAAAGAGAATCCATGGTATTATGCACAAAACATAGAGTACTATTGTATGCTGATTACATAAACTAAGGCCACAGCAGAAAGCACCAATTTTAGCTATCTGAAAAAAGAAAAAAAAAAAAAACCCTAAGTTAAAAATTTACCTAAAACTCTTAAGTAAGCACAATAGTAAAAAGTTATTCTTTATATGAGAACCAAGCATTTGTACCATAGGTCAGGCTAAAGTCAACCTCTTAGACACAGGCTTGCTTCCACAGACACTAATATTTAGCACCATTACTTTTTTTTTACAATATTGTTCATTCTCATCACATCACTGCAGTTTGACCTGAAATGACTGCCTTCAAAGTAAGTTTTAGAAAGTCCTGCATGATAACTGGGTAAGTCCTACCAGTAATAAGATATTGTGTAATTCTTACTAAAGTCTGTAACTAAAACTCAGGCACTCTTTCCATTTTACTTTTTCTCCTATTAAATTAAATACATAAAATAGAACACTTTTTATTTAAAAACCAGGTTATGGGTGCTGTTTTTGCTCTTTTGAACATGTGCAATTTTCATAATCAGAAAAAAGTTTACTTTAGACAAAAAATGAACTCTAATAGCAGCACAGATCTGTTTATAGGCACCACTGATAAACCATGGTATTCTTCTGTCTGTATATTCTTCAACAACAAAAGGCTGCCTTTACTAAAATGGTTTGGTACCTCCCAATGTGTAGACTGTAAGCTCTTAGAAGACAGGGTTCCTTCACGTTTCAAATGATCTTGATATTAGTGTTTGCCTTATAATTCACTGGAAACTCTTCCGAACTACTTCATTTATATATTTGACACTCTTAGTTTAAAAAAAAAAGTACAAATTTGGTCTTTTTTTCAATTAGAGAGTAAGTCAATGTACCATAATGGTATATAATTTAAGGTGGTCAATCCAGAGCTTGGCATCTAACGATCACACTAACACACACACACACACACATGCACGATGGTGAAATTAACCAACAAGCCCATCTTTCCCATAGGACTCAGAGGGGATTTCAATCCTCTCATTCTCCAAAAAACTTCTGAACTCTGGGAGAAAAAAAAAAGCTCCATGGTTTATAAAGGCTATCATGGTTCACAGTAAAAGAACTCAGAATATTTTCTCTCTCAACGCGCCTAAATTACCTCGACAGTAATCAAGACAGATAAACAGCATCCAAAGTTAAAAAGAAATACAGCATCTGTCTAAAAATTAAAACAAAAAGTGATTTCACTTTGATCAAAATAGGTTACCTTTGATCTTTCTTTTGCAGTTGCTGCCTCCTCAAAATGTACAGTAAGAGCCATAAGCAGCCCCACAAACAGATTGTTTAAGCTAAAAACCTCTGCTGCAATGGACCACTGCCATGTTAGACGAGAAAATGAAAACACCCCCGCAGCAAGGATTCCTCCAGCATGTGAGCCAGAAAGCCTGCAAATACAGATAACATGAAATCTTCTTTCCCAACAAAAAGAACTGACTTTCTTTTCCTTTTTATAAACTGTAGCAGCAGAAATTATGAGTCACCCAGCACTATCCCAACACATTATATGGCTAATACATTACTTCGTATAATAATTTCTTCCAACAGATTTTAATTAGGAAGTCCATATGTTAACTTATTAACAAACAAAGGAACAAACCTCCTCAGTCTCCTATGGACTGAATGAGGTTTAGTTCTCAGATGGAACCTCTAGGATTCAAGCCAATTCAGAAAGCCTGAAGAGACAGTAGCTAGAGAGATTACAAACCTGTATCACTTCTCTTGCTCTATCCACAAATCAGAATGATGGTCTGGTTGAGACGGAAATATGTTGAATTGTAAGAATTAATGAAATGGCAAAATATCCGTTCAGGAACACTCATTCTCACTTCTCGTGGAATGTTTGGGCCTAGGCACTTTCCACACGATCACACCAAAGTTTATCTCCCAACATATGGCAAACATGTCTTTGTCACAATACCTGGTGATTTTAAGATCTTGAAAACTGAGTTCTTAGTTTCTAGTGATTCCTTCTTTATACAAAGTTGAAGTTGAAAACAATGTATTTCTTTAAAGAGAGGGACGGGAATGTGAACTTCAATAGCACAAAAAGAATCAAACGCCACACCTGGAAACAAATTTCTCAACCCCAACGCCAAGGAGAGCCAGACATTTCAAATCAATCAGGAATCTGGATCTCAGTTCCAAGATTTGATCTGAGACTAGTAATGTGGTGGACAGAGCATATCAAAGCAAAACAACTTCCTATTTCCCCATAAATCTAAAATTATGAAAAAGCTATTACCAAATATCTCTAACAAGTGTTATGATTCAGCAAGCATTACCATGTCTAATAGTTAATGATAGTATATGGCCCTAAATCATCACTGTTAAACTAAACTATATTGTTTTGGATAAAAAGCTGTGGAGTCATTCTATGGCTTTTAATCAAGCATCACAGAAAAAAAAAGTTAAAATAAAATTTTGATATCACCAAACTTCTTTTGGAGTTCCTCTTTGCAATATATTTGTTTTCTTTCCATTATAAAAATCATCAGTTTCCTATTTCTTTCAGAGTTCCCCGTTCTCCCAGTGACCCTGATTCATCACATTGAGGGCTTTTCTTCCCTCTAAATTACTTTCCAAATTCCTTTCTACTTGTATTCCTACTACCTTAGACTCAATTAAGCTTCCTAAGTGGTCTTGTGTTTTCCAAACCATTCTGCAATATAACATCACATTAAACTTCTGAAAACATACTCTTTATGAATACCTAGCCCCCCACTTTAAGGACTCTTCACTGCCTGTAGGAAATATTCTAAGTGAGCCAGGCTGGAACTGAAGCTCCTAATAAACGGTACCTAGCCACTAATCACCAACATTATCATCTCCACCAACCAGTTAGGCTCCCCAAAATTCCCTGATAAGACATGCCCATTCCCAGCACCATACCTTTGCTCATGCTATACCCATGAACCCAATGTGTTCTTGGATTCCTTCTACTTATTCAAACTCTACTCTTTTCTCAAATTTCTCTTCAATTCCCAGGTTCTAGGTCATCTTGGAACATGTATAGCATGGAGTTGCCTCTAATAATTACTTTGACTTTGTTTTTGAAATGTGAACTGGAGTTAAGCTTCATTTATATTGGAAGTCATTCGCCCGAAGCACAGAAAGGAAACTTTGTGAGTGAGAATGAATTAATCTTAAATAATGGGTAACATTTTTAAAGGAATTTCTATGTTTTGTCTGTCAATATTACTTTGGAAAGTCAGCATAAGATACAAGATTCCCTCCTCTACTTAAAACATAAATTAGAGGGGTGCCTGGGTGGCTCAGTTGGTTAAGCAACTGCCTTCGGCTCAGGTCATGATCTCAGGGTCCTGGGATAGAGCCCCGCATCGGGCTCTCTGCTCGGTGGGAAGCCTGCTTCTCCCTCCCCCACTCCCCCTCCTTGTGTTCCCTCTCTCGCTGTCTCTCTCTCTCCCTCTGTCAATTAAATAAATAAACAAACAAACAAACAAACAAGCTTCCTTGGAAAAATGGCCGATTCCAGGTCTGGGGCAGGTCAAGTACAAAATGAATCTGAAATATCTTGTACCAGAAAATAAGGAAGGATTCAAAAGAGGATATGACAAAAGGACAAGGAGCCAGCTTAAAGGGGTCAAATCAGGGATAATGTGAACATCAATAATTACAGTAATAGATTATTACCCAATGAATAAATAATCTATGAATCTATAGTGATATAAATAGGGGAAGAGAAAATCCACAGAAAGTCAACAATAACTGTAGAAGAAATGATGGAGTTTGGCAGCCAATATCATCATAATAATGGATACCAAAATTAGTGAGTAAAAGTTTTACAGAAATACGTATGTAGTCTAAAGATATCTCCCTATAAACAGAGTAATTACAGAGGGGAAAATGGTAACTTTACAGGGGCAAACCCAGCAGACACAATCTTAACCACATGATCAAAGATAAAGCCCAGTAATGGGACAAACCTCATATGCTTTCTGATCTATTCCAATGAAAAGAACAGAGCATCATTTCTACGGTATTCTTGCCAAAATGTATTACCTGAACCCACAAACTCAAATTGAAGAACATTCTACAAAGTAACTGGCTAATATAGATCAAAGAAAATGTCAAGGTCTTGAAAGACAAAAACAAAAAGCACAAGACCACGAGTCCATATGAAAGAGGCTAAAGGGATATAATGGAATAAAATTCATGATCTCGAATTTCCTTCTGCCAAATAGGATATTATTGGAACAACTGGCAAAATCTGAATCACCTCCATAGATAACAATGTTGTATCAGTGATAATTTCCTGACTTTGAGAACTGCACTGTGGATATGTAAGAGAATGTGCTTGTTTTTAAGAAACATACCTTGAAGCACTTAAGGGTAAAAGGATAGCATCTATGCAGCTTACTCTTAAATGGTTAAAAACAAAACAATACACACATATTGTTTGTGGCTAATGATATCGAGCATCTTTTCAAGTGTTTATTGGCTATTTGTAGGTTTTCCTTGGAGAAGTTTATCCAGATCCATTGCCCATTTAAAAATTAGGTTGTGCTCTGTATTATTGTAGAGTTCTTCTCAACTTCCTTTTAATACATTTCTTTCCTGCTAAACACTGCCAGAGTCCATTGCTTGCACCCAAGAGCCCTGACTGAAACACACTGCCTTCCCTTTTTGTTATTCTTATTAAGGTTTCAAGGCAAACTGTGTGAGCAAATTCTGAAAATAAATGCTGAAGAGGTCATAGCTTTGTGAAAAACAGAAGAGAGGGCAGTATGTCTAAGAACAAAAGTTATGTGTGCATCCATATATAGGATATGTAGAATATAAAACTTTTTGGAGGCCTCATCATTTTACTATTCAGTTTGGGGTTTACATAGTGCTGTACATAAGCTAAGCCTGTATGAATTTCATTGATTTCAGCAGCCTTTACTCAACTATGAATGTCCATTGAAACACACATTATTTTAACATACTGCCTTTAAGTTTGCTTTATGCTAAGATTCAGAATCAATTAACATTTACTGACCATGTAACATGTATCAACTGGTAGACTACGAAAAACAGAGAAAATGCAAAACATCTGTTGTAGAAAAACTCCGCAAGTTGAAGGATACATACAAGGATTTGCAGGTAGCAGTACTGTTCAGCTGAGGCTGCAGAGACCGTGGATATGGAGTGGCAGGATCTGTCAGCATGGCTGTGGAAAGGTCTGAAGCAGCCTAAGCTGGCCTGGAAAGACTGGAGAGAGCCAGGGTTAGCGGCTTTACGACGCAGGTAGGACAGAAGGACAAGAGGGAAGGGAGTTTGTAATAAGCCATGGGGCCTAGATTGGATAGGGAAGAAAGCAAAGCAGCAGGGGGCTGATGAAGGCAATAAAGAGTATGAGCAAAGCATTCTAGGTCTCAGTCAAATGGAAGACAAGGGTAGAAGCATCAAGGAAATGAGTGAACTGAAAGCTAAAGTCATGCCAGGTAGTGCAAAGTGGGTTGGGGAAGGGGACTGGAACCATTAAAGGAAGGAACAGGCCAGTTAAACAAGACTGGACTCTGTTGTTGAGGGCAGCCTGTGATGGAAAAGGGTTTAATAAAGCTGTTTTCAAAATCATAAGATTTTCATTAAAACTAAGTATTTGTCCTAAAAGACAAGCAGTACAGCATACACTAATAAATCTGCAGGCTGAATGCTCTGTAGGAAGACAGGTGTGCAGCCCAGGGCCATGGCACCATATGCAAGCTAACAAGGAGAGGTGAGGGCCCACATCAGCACACTGTGAGCTAAGTCTGTGATCTGCTGACAAGCAAAGGATGATGTCAGCAGTGGTAAGCATGAGGACTTTCTTTCTTTTTTCCTTTTTTTTAAGATTTTATTTATTTGAGAGAGAGAGAGAGAGACAGAGCACGAGCAGAGGGGAGGAGCAAAAGGAGAGGAAGAAGGAAACTCCCTGCTGAACGAGGAGCCCGATGTGGGGCTCGATCCCAAGACCCTGGGATCCCAACCTGAGCCAAAGTCAGCTGCTTAACCGACTGAGCCACCCAGGTACCCCAAGCCATGAGGACTTTCTGAAGACTCTGGAGGTCTTCAATTCATTCACTGACTCTGTAGATAGGCAGTCTCATTACATTGTGCAAGGCATATTACATTATCTGAGCTTGCTTCATTTCACCCTAATGAGACAGAGATAAATGACTAAAGAGCAGCTGAATTCAAAGATGACTTCACAAAGACAGTTCAGGATCATGGCAAGGCTCAGTATTAGCTTCCTGCTGTCCACATCTGTAGCCTCTATGCTCCATTGTCACCCGAGCATTCTATTCAAATAGCACCCAATTGCCATCTAACTGCTAAATACAACAGGCTCTCAGGACCTCTCTGCTGGATTGATCCCAGCCCCAAGCACACTCTACTGAGTTGA